GTTCAGCGCGGATCTAAATTACAAAGCTTGCGCAAACACGTATATATGTAAAGCAACTGGATGAATTTCAGCTTGCTGTACGCAGAATGGCACAAAAATGCACCCGTACACGCCACTCAGTGGAGGTCAAGAGCAGAATATTGAAGAGTTATGAGGAGGGAAACAACTGACAGTAACTTGCATGTATATTAAGCGTGAACCCGAAAATCCACTGCAGTTGGTTGCGAAGAATGAAATCAATAGGACAAAGAGCGAAGCATGGTGGGGGCGATAAAGACCTCTGGTAGAAAGCCACATTATTTGCCTGGTAGAATGAGTGCCGTCGGAACCCACGGTCACTCTTCAAACACTCTACCTACGGTTGAAAGCTGTGTGGAGGCTTGAGGTGAGCATTAGCACCATAGCGCGACATTTGGGAGGGAGGCTGATAGAAATGAAGAAATTGCGTGCCATTCCGGCACCCGCAAACACATAAAAGTAAAAAAAATGGTGACGAAAATTCCGTTTACAGAACAGCAGTAGGGGGGGGGTTTAAGGTAGGAATTCATACCAATTAGATCCACACAGAAAGCCATCTCAGGCCTGGAAAAGCACTGTACAGTGGTTTCATAGATTCAGGAATTATGCCTCAGTGGATTAACCACGGACTGGTAACAGTCGAGTTGCGGGTTCGAGCACTACAAGGGCTATATGGAATGTGAACTGCTGACGTTTTCCGACAATTCTAGGTCTATGCACTGCTGTAGTCGGAGGTCGAACGGAGACGAGCGGTGTTGATTGATGAAATAAATTGCGATCTCTTTTGCGTTCGCATCAGAGGCCGTTCACCGAGTGTAAGTCGTGCGCTGTGTCAAGTGCCCAACACTCAAGGACGGAACCTACATTTTATTGGAGCCTTGACGACCGATGCTTTGATGGAGTACACTATCGTGAGAGAAAGTTACAACAAAAAAGGTGTGCGCAGTGGTTGCGTGGACTGTTGGATTCCAGGGGTACGACTTTAGTGGAAAACTGCCTCCGGACCTGCGATAACGCGTCACGCCACACGAATTCGGAACGCGTATGCAAGGAGCAGCGGTACCCTTCGGGCAGCCTTCTGCGTCTTCCTCCATATTCTCTATCACTCAACACAATTTGGAGCATCATAAAAGCACATGTGAAGCAAGCAGGGATATTCGGAGATGCTTCAGCGAGATCCTAAGGACGGACATTACAAGACCGAGTGAAGAATGAGTTTCATGGAGCGAACTGTGTCAGAGGCACGTGCCTGTGTGAAATCTCTGCACTGCCATCATATGATAGATCATGTGAGGAGGAATTACGCTAGCGCAATGTATTGCACTTCTTTGTCAATTGCTCGCATTTTGTTGATATAAATGTAGATAATCTGAACTGGTGGTGTCAATGCTATGCATCGCAAAGCCACTGAGTCGAAATGTAAGTATAAACAATGGTGTTCAGGCTAAGTTCTGTCGTAGAAAGTTCCCGCATGTTTCCGTGTTAAGGAATGCGAGACAACCAAGGGGTATCCGGATGATTCCTGGTAATCAGGACTACATTGCTGCTAATGATGAGAGGCCATGCGTTGTAACGTACTGTAGTGTCGCGAGATGATGGTATGTAGTTGGTATCACGAAGAGGAATACCATACGCAAAAATGGAAGCATCATTCTGTTGATTGTTAGGTTATGCATTATTGCGGAAATCTTGAAGTTGCATAGTGCCGTAGGTTACATATCACCGCGTGAGGACAGACACTGTGATCTACGCTAAGACAACGCGTCGGATGTAAGTCACTGATCCATCTCGGGACGCGAAATAGATGTTTAGCGCTCACTGTCAAACATTTGAGAGGGCTATGCGGTCGAGTGTGTACGCTTCAGTGCCTAAGTTGTGCCAATATATGCGATGCATCATGAATCGTCCGTTAATTGTTAGCGGTGCAGCATTCAGAGTATACGAACTACTCAAGTGACCAAAGTAGACGTCATTGAGATCGCCTACACATTAACCACCTCCTCCACCCCTCCAACGCAAGCACCTTAAAGCAAATGTAACGCTTCAACTCTACCTTGGGCTGAATGGTATGGCGTACTACGTTCAGCTTAGGGTGCACAGATCGCTTCATACACGCCTAAAAATAAGAAAGTAGCAGTCGTATCACGGCACTGGCCCTATTCAGCAGAGTTCCGCCCATGATTTTCTTCTCTTAACCAAGTGACCAACTGTCAACCCGGAGTTCAGTGGCAAGTTACGCAGGCCACGTATACCGCTGTGTTCACAGGCACGCAATAAAATTTTGTCACCCCAGACCCCAATCATTCGCGGTCATACGCCTGTGACTGCCTTGATATCCGGACAAACCGAACCTGCCCGAGCGCTACTAGGTCCTCACAACAGTGTAATCCCACGACCTTGGTCTTTTGATGTTTTTAATTGGAATTATAAAGGGAATTTCATGCATAAAGTTACGCTCTCGAATTTCCCGCTTCGTGACGAAGATTTAAGTAATGGAGAGCGATTCGTTGCAACCAAATGGAAGTATACCAGTTATCATGTAAATATCTGCTAAATCACCATGTCACATTCCAGTTTATTGGTACGTTCACTATTTAATCTTTCTCTTTATTATGGCCATCCTACGGGACTTGTCAAGTGTTATCTACTTGACCCGTTATACACCTTACTACTGCCATCTGCGATTGTGGACTGTGTGTTCACAGTCCGTTAGGTAGGAAATTGAGCGTCATCGATCTCTGGGAATTGACGGCTTTGCAGTCACAACTGCCGTAGGAAGAAACTGAGGTGTTGCTCGCCTATATGCTGTGTCGGCAAACTACCTTTGCTGGAGAAGAGGCGGTGAAATGGACAAACGAAAATGCCGAGCAACGAAGGAGTGACTCCCATGTGTGAACATACCACTAGACTGGGTACGGGATACAAATTCAGTTGACGCGCACCGATTTGCGTGTCAGTTGCCCTTACGTTCGGTTCGCATCAGTCCGCCCATGCATGTGCGTACAAATCAGTAGATGCAAAATTCCCACAGCCCGGTCGCAGTAGCTCAATTGATTCAGGGACCATCAAGTCGGTGTACTGCATCCACTATGAGGATAAGCGACGCCTGTTGTAACAGAGCAGGGCCTACTCGCATTGTAACAAAATGACAGCAGCTGTATTTCGGCACTAGTCCTCGCAGCAGACTGCCGCTCAACACGACTCCCTATAAGTCAAAGCGGCCACGGTCCAACCTGTACTTCGGTTGCGCAGGCCCCTTTTGTCCCTCTACTCGCAAGCCCGTCACACCACCCCGGTTCATTCGCAGCCATGCCCCTGTGACTGCCTCGCTATCTGGATACAGCACCATCGCATACCCTAGCTTTGGTAGGTCGTCCAAAAAACCTGGGCTGCGCCAGCGCCAAACTAGCTATAAGGGCGCTGATGGGGTGTCGCATTACCGTGTTCGCACCCCACCCCCCCCCCCACTGGTGCCGATCGCAAGGCATACATTTAGGTCCATGGTAGTCCACTTATACCAGCCGCATCAAGTGTTTGGACAACCTTGTGTCCCTAAGCTGCGTAGAACGAGCTTCAGATTAGGCATCATTGCTGAATGCACGCTAGGCTGTCCACGCGCCAACACCACACACCACTAACCATCAACGCATACATTCATGCAAGTTTACCGTCATTGGCTGCTTCGGGCTAGTTCACTAACAAGGTCACTGTGCGCGCTTCGTGCGTAGAAATGATACTGGACGCAATTCCATTGCACTGTGGATGGAATTAATTGGGAAAAGGTGTAGAAGCGCGGTGAAGATAGTGTAGAGGGCGAAGGGTCACGGATTGTGCACAAAGGCGGGAGAGCACCCGTCAGCTTTTTGTCGTTAGGTTCAGAGTAGGCATGACCTGTCAAAAAAGGGCGCGTAACCTTTAACTCACTCGCGGTCGAAGTTTGCACCCTAACACGGCCGAAAAAATGAGAATTAGGACTCAGTTAAGGTTATGTCAAAGTATTCGGCGTGTGAATAGATTGCGACCAGCAACCTCAGTCAGGAGCATGATTCGTTTTGAAATGATCTTGAGACAATTCGATCAATGGGATCACATTTGAAGCAGGTGAATACTACATTACCGATTTCGCATTGCTTTGCACTGGTTATGTGAACATGGTAAAACAGGGACTCAACTAATAGATACTTGGGATATCAGCGGAAATCTCTACCCGTAGCCACTGGGTTGACGTGGGAGATGGTTGCCACGTCTACTTAAGATTTGCTTTTCAACTCGGTTAGTATTCGTTGCAACAACGGTCGCCCACCGCAACTAGTTGGTGGCTTAGGAGTAGAGGCTATAGCTGAGATCCCAGAGATCCCGGGTTCGAGTGGCAGATTTGGAATTTTATGAACTGTACTGAGCCTTTCAAAGCAGCAAGTGGCGAGACGCTGCAGTCAAACTCTTGAGGCGAAAGTGTTATTCCCTGATGAATTTGTAGATGATTTAGTCAAAGGCTCCGGGTGGAGTGATGCAAGCATTGTAAGCCAGTGAGTGGAAAAGTATAGCCCTCATAAAACGGTATGGGCTAAGATAGTAATGGAACAAGAGCATCAAAATAATTGATAGCGGATGAGCAGGGTATGAAATGGCCGATTACAGTTAGGTAAGGTGAGTTGGTCACAATAACCGGTGCAAATAAGCCCTGAAAAGAAAGCTCACGAATAACCGAAAATAGATAGGCAAATTTCAAACGCAAGTATATCAGATAGAAGCAACAATGCGTCTGAACGTTCGAAGCTACGCACCGAATTTCGAAAATGTCATTACAGATGGATACTGGGGACTTGAAACCAGATCGGTACACATCACGAGTAGGAAGAGCAGCTACAGACAAAACTCTCAGGACACTCACAAACCAAACCAGATATGAGTAGAATTTGTCAAGCACATTACGATAGCATGCCAGATGAATTCGTCAAAATTCGAAAAGGAAACGCACTCACTTTTTTGGACAATTCCGGAAACGCGGAGCTTTGATATGGATACGAAGAGTCGTCCACTATGTGCCAATGAAGTACGTTTAGTTTGTTGTAAGCCATCGCCTCCTAGGTGGCGGGAGTGTGGAGATAGTGGGAGAGAGAGAGAGAATGAAGACGAGAAGGACTTATAGTGGCCACGTAACCAGACAAGTTGATGGGTTATAGTGCGTTAGCGGAAAACGGCCTTCTGGTATAAGCTTAAATAAACGTGACTAAGCGAGGCCGGAATGATCTAATTAGACCACACTGCATGACAGAAAGTGCACATGCAACCCAGGATGTTGTAATTCAATCTATGCAGGATTACCAGTATGGTAAGACCACATTTTCAGCATTGTGCAGAGTGTGGAAACCGAGGCACAGTAACAGCGCTGCCACTTTAGACTGCTGCATGCGGACTGAGACTGAAGGAAGAATGGGTGATAGAACTCGGGATATAGGGGTTAAAAGCCAGGTCCTCGAATAACTGTACACCACAAGCCTTCTGACCTGGAATGGCAACTCTCCAGATGTGAACAGACCTTCCATTGATGCGCAACGCGATGAGACATTTTCACGGGGTAGACGTCTTGTTATAATGTGATAACCGGATCGGAGCGACGGTGGGCTATATGAGCACAGATCAGCAATTGTCAGAAGTGTCGAAATTGCAACATGGATGGCGATGTCCACTGAGGTCCGGTGATACTGCGTCCTCATCTGATGGACCAACTCATATCAATTAAAGTGGAGCAAGCGGGAACCAGTTCATGGCTACCCGAAGCCATTTCAGCATAAAGACGGGATAAACACTTCATTGGGCTGAGCTGAGAACCTGTGATAGCTTAGGCTGGAGTAAAACGGGAAAGACCCATCATTTTAGATAAAAACAACATCAGGCACACTTGTCTGCATGTATGCATCCGCTGAGTGTGATGCAACTACCAGTCCGATCAGACCAGTGTACGGAGACGAATGAATTCGAAGAACAACCATAATGTGGTGAGGTTTCAACCCCGCGGTAAAGGTAGATCTACACTGGCTTTGAGCAATGGGTGGTCGCTTTCTGCTATGAGGCCCAAGATTTGAACGTCGTACACATAATGTTCACACCTTGTTAACATCAAGTAGAGGCACGACGGAAATGAGTGCGGCTTTATACATGTCGATAAGCGTATGTGTTGCGCTGCTCCACTTTCAAGTAACAAATTCACAAACTTCGTTTCCACCTCACAATGTTCGGGCATAAGTTGCACTTTAGGCCAACGTACTCGAGGACAGTTGAAACCACCCATGAGTAGAGAATGGGGACGACTGATGCGGCTTTAAAGATGCGGTAGCCATTCTAAACGGTGGTTCAGGTGTCCGCAATAAACCGCATTCATGAGCTACTCTCCGCGCATGGGGTATATCAGGCACCATACCTGCTCACAAAGACAATCATTGCTTCCGTGAGCGATCAATCTTCCACCCAGAGATAACCGGATATAGAGCAACAGACCACCGAGGGAAGTTGACAGTCTATCGCAGCGGAGATATGTGGAGCCGGTGAGCTCGATTTCCCGGGCAATCACATCAGAATTCAAACATGACGCTGACAGCCCTACTACATCTGGCCGCTCGGATGCAATGAAAAGACACAGCTCATCGCGCTTGTTCATAAGACTGCAAACGCTAGAGAAGGCTACACACAGGACGCGACAGGAACCACCGGACGTGCGTGAAGGATAAGCAATCTGCTTATCCGACATCATGTAATCTTGGAACCGAGCCGAAAATTTTCGATAAGGAGATTTGTTTCCACCATCAGCATTTCGTCTTTTCATCTCAGTGATAGCAGACTTGATCTAAAAAATCCAGGTCTGGATTTACATGGATCTTTAAACATTTCAACCAATCTCAGTGGGGACAAGAGAAGCTTCGAAATGACTTCGTCCACAAAGCCGATTCGCATTGGCCGAATTCGATTATCACATTTCATTCCAAGAAGGGCTATTTTATTAGAGGAACAATAAAAATACAGGTAAGCTTGTGCAGCCGTTCATGACGGCAGACTTTCGTTTTGCTATGTTGGTTCACTGACGTTTCTTTGAATGCACCATTTCGCTATCCCTTTTGGCTATTTGCAGTCGTTGTTTTTGCCTTCAGACCGCAACCATACTCTGACGCGAACACTCGCGCTTCACGTGCACTTGATTGATTCCATATTTGTCTAGTCCTTATTGGTTTCAATGGTCCGCACGATTTCCATACTCTGGTTGGCTTTCTTGTTTGTGCGTTATGCCACATAACGAAGTGGTTTCCTTATGTAAAAGGGTCCTTGAACCAGTGTCCCGGGCGGTTCATGTTCTCATTACCGTTACTGGGTGGAAGCAGTCGCGGGGCTCAGACACAACACATTTCTTTCACTTTCAACCAGTCCCCATTTACGTCGAGGAGTCCATCAATCAGGATCTGTAAAAACGATAGTATAATACGTATATTTCCCGATTGTGCGAGAAGCTGTCCCTGTATTGTGGACAGATCATGGATACAATGATGGTAATGCTCATGCATGAGTGAGATATGTAGTTTTGGTGTGATATCAAAATAATTTGGAATCACATAAGTTTGGTTGCTGCTAAGTTTTGTGTACCATCTTTTCACATTGGTTATATATTTCTTGGTGCATCCTGGAAGAGCTCGTGTGGTGATTTACCCGATGGAATATTGCCATTATCGAGTTCTGGTCGAGGAAGTTACTGAGTGCGGAATGTTTTTGCATTTGTGCAAAACCTGATTGTGGCTGGTAAGCCGTTCTACACGACAGCGTATCTGACGCGGAAAAAGTTGGATCCGACAGCTGTGCTGGTTCTTGTCACAGTCAAGTTACGAGTTTCATTGCGTAGATTTCGAGCGCTGTGTTGCAATTTTAGTATGCACAGATTGGAGTATGTCTTTTGGTTTATGAGATTGTGTATCAGCATCAGGTTATGTCTCAGTCGTCGCAATCGAAGCGGCTCGAGCTTAAGCTGCTGGCAACGCTCCTGATAACTCTGCACGATTCATTTGTTGAATCCTGTTGATCAGTTATAAAAGAGGGTGTGCAATCGTTGTGCGCACGTTTCGTACCCCTCAAGTATCGGAAAGCTGGGCTAGTGAAGTCACTTTGGTTCGAGAGAGAGTATGGTCAACTGGCTCGACCGCGACGCGAATTGTGGAATAAATTGCTCGTCTAAGGCTTTGCCGAGGATTATGAGGCATACTAAAGGCAGCGGAATCTATGCAACAGCGGGAAATTGCAAAAGCGTCGGTAGTTCTAAGAGGAGCTTGCAACCTCAACAAAGAAGGCCTCCAAGAAAAGTTTTGCTTACGTGAAGCGGCGACTGAGGTCCGCGAGTGACGTAACTGTGTTGGAGGGCACTGACGGACAGCATCTGACCTTGAGCACTGAACGTGCGTCCGCATTGGCAGAACAGTTGGCTTTTGTATTTACGAGTAGGCATGCGCCTATGTCGAGCTCGATGTGTGCAGCCCCTACTGAACTCGAGGGCCTTGATTACGGTGTAGAAGATGTTCGCAGTCTACCCGCCAGCCAGGACGGTACGAAACCTACCGGAACCGATGGACTTCACACGCTAATTTTGAAATCCTTATCGGCCATCATTTCACCTGCCGTGACGGATCTGTTCAATGGATCGCAGTCCGAGGGTGCACTGCCGAGCGACTGGAAATGATTGGTAGCGAAGCACATTCAAAAAGGCGGTGACCTACGCTATGTGGACAATTACCGGCCGATTTGTCTTATCAATGTTTGGCGAAGGTACACGTGAAGATTGTGAAAAAGGGTCTTCTCCATCTGCTGGAGTCTTACGCCGGCAGAGCGTGGCCTCATGAAGGGCCGCTCGTGCATCACCAACCTGCTGTTGACACGGCAAGGATGGTTGCAAGCGTTGAATCGGGGAAAGCCAGTGGATGTCATCTACATTGATTTATATAAGGCTTTCGATAAATTGAACCACGAGGTCCTGCTCTACAAGCTGGGGATGTGTGGTGATGGTAGCGCACTTCCCCAGTGGATCAGTAACTTCCTTCGTGGGAGAAGATGGCGGGTTCAGGTGGAGGACCATCTAACGGAATGGTACCCGTCCACGGGCGGCGTACCCCAAGGCACAGTACTGGGGTCCATTTTATTCCTGATCCACCTCAATGAAGTGCCTCAGCTTTTTCGGTCGCCCTACGCATTATTTGTGGACGACCTGAAGATTTGGAGGATTATTGGCTCTCCCGACGACTGTGACGTTCTTCAGCAGGACCTCGATCATCTCCCGGTGGTCTGCAGTAGTTTACCTACCGGTCAACCCGGCCAAGTCCTTGTTTGTGAGACTGTGGAGGAGTAGTAATGGGCGTGCGTACACCCTTGCCGGCCACCTGCTGCATCCCATCAGTTCAGTAGAGGAACTCTCACACTGTGACCTGAAGTCTGTAGACAACACGAACAGACTGTACCCAAACGGACTACACCTGCTTTGGGCACTTCGACGCAGCTTCCGAATTAGGTCCGAAAAGATTGCCACACGTGTTAAGACGGGCGCTTGAGTACGGCTCACCCGCCGATTATTCGATTACCATAGGTAAGGTGCAGAGACTGGAATAGATCCAGCTTGTAGATACATGCCTGATCCATAGTTTACGGGGTATATCGTACGAGGACCGCTGTAGGAGACTAGGGCTTTATACGCTGTCATATCGTCGGCTTTGAGTTGATCACATTATGGCGCACCGGATACTGTACCTGCGCCACTTCCCTATGTTGAAGCCGCTGCTGCAACTTCGCACAGCAAACAGCAAAACACGGACACCGGTAAAAACTAGTGGTACCAGATGTAAAGCGCATCGCACATCCTCTATGATTCGAGTGGTGACATATTGGAACAAATTGCCGGAGATGCAAATAGAGGCGAAATCGGTGTCGGAATTAAAGATATTCGTTGAGGCCCACTTTGCGGACTAAGGGTATAGGGAGCGTATCGCACCCGGATAAGATATAGTGCAGCTGCAATATGCTGCCACCGCGCAGGAATCAGCGACGGGATTCCGCGCAAGTGCCCGACCCAGTTACGATGGAGCAACGCAGATTTTTATCTTCTCGCTCTCTATTCTCCGTGTTCAAGGTGGATGATTTACTGAACAAACGATTAGTGAATGATCATTGCAGGTTTTCCAAAGCTTCCTTGTCACCCATATGTATATTCTCATGAATGATGCTGCAGTATTCAAGGACAAGAAGTGTAACCATTTTGAAAAGCTCGAGTCTGGCAGGGGTTGTAAAGATTTTAAGGCATATGTTAGCCATAGATCGTTTGACACGTGTTATTTGATACTCGTCTTGCTCTGAGAAAGTAAAGTCTGAACAATATCAGAAGCCTAGATCACAGTTGGATAGTTGCACAAAGATAAGTTCATTGTTCAGTTTAGCTGACTGTTCAGGCATCAAACATTCGTGTGACATAATGCTTGGTTTACTAGCTGAGAACTTCAACACCCATGCGTCGCACCATTTCTCAAGTAAATCGAGGTCTTCGTGAACGAGTTACGTTGCGCTATGGAGTTCGTCACGTCGAAATTTATAAACAACCGTTGTCATCAGCAAAGAAAAATGGTCTAGCATGTTGTACGCACATGGTGATGTCATTAGTATAGAGTAGGAAAAGGAAAGGGCCAAATACACTCCCTTGGATGATACCACTAGTGATTGGACGTGGGGAAGAGTTTTGATCACTCAGAGTGACTATCTGGTAACGCCTATTTAGGTATGATGTCAACCAACCAAACAGTGGGTCCCTGATTCCAAATGACTTGATTCTTTTCAGTAGGCACTTGTGGGGCGCTCTGTCGAATGCTTTTTGCATATCCAGGAACTGCATAATTGGAATCAGTGGCTGCTGCGATGTAATCTAGGTAGTGTAACTGACGTTGTAAAGAAACGTTTCTCGAGGAACCCATGCTGGGATTTGTTAAGCAACCCATAACGATGGATGAAGGTTGTGATTCCACTTTTAATTAAATTTTCGAATAAGGTCGACAATTATGATCGTAGCGCAACTAGGGAGTTGGAGCGCGGAAGATCACTAGGTTGAAACGTCTGGTGGGCCAAGGTTGACCTTGTTAAGGAAGGACTTTCCAGAGCTTCAGGTAGTCGGGCTTGCCGTTTATTTGCAGTGGCTGTACGCTCTTCACTATTCTGCTTTTTCTTTCCTTGCACATTCAAGGAGTCTTCAGTACACAGGCCTTCATACTCCGGGACATCTGTGCCTGTAGGATACGACACAGGCAAAATATTTGTGTCGCGTGTAGTTGGGCTACTGGTAAATACGGGACTTCGTGTCGGTGACGATCAGGAAAACTTATCTAAAAACCTGGAGGCGCCTTAGGTTAGCTTGTTGGGCCAAACACACGGAGTTGCTCACAACGGAATAACTCAGCCTGCAAGACGATTTGTGCTTTGTTTGTACTTCCTCCTGTTGTATCTCATTTCGGCAATTCTTAAACACCGTGTGAACGAAATCATCTCAGATTGCACGTAAACACTGAAAATAGTCAATCGATAGTCCAATGCATGAAATGTGGTAGGTAACGTGACCATAACACATGTGAGTGGATTTGCTCGACTTCCGACAATCTTGAAACAGGAACTGAAAGATGATTGTTTCAGTATCATGAAAAATCTGGGAATAAGATGGTGACCAACTGCAGAGCACAAAGCAATTGTTAGCTCTTCAATATTAAACTGAGGGAGCACATGTACTATGGTCTAAAAATTCAAAGTTAGAAATGAAAATGAAAGATAGTGTACTTGCCAAGAAAAGATTTCATTGCAGGGAGAACTACAGCAAGAAAGAAGCCGGTTCACACAGTCAGGAAAGAATTGAGCGGGAGTCATTAAGCCGGTACGCGATCAGCAACAGTCACGTAACGTCTCTAGCACCAACGAAGATCCGAACTACCGACCTCCGGATTATGAGGAAAGCGTACAATCAATTCAGCTAACGACCATATATATATGGGATCTTTTCCAGTTAAGCCCCGCCACTAATGCAAAAAGAGCACGCGCAAAAAGTTAAGCCCCGTCACTAAGGCAAAAAAGGGCACACCTGAAAAGTCAAGCCCCACCAATAGTGCAAAAAGGGCACGCGTGAAAAGTTGAGCCCCGCCACTGTTTGCCAGCTCCAGTGTACGTAATGCATGTGAACGTGCCCCATAAAAACACTCCTTATCCGCTTCTAAGGTCATTTTTGTCCAAAAAGTTTCTACGTTCGCACGTAAAACCTAACATGAACTTTCTGACGCTTTCGGCGGTCGTTCATGACAAGGAAACAGGAATACGTTTTTTGCAAAGCCATGGAGTGATTCATCATCAACGTTTATGCAGACGAGGACACCAAATGACACTTTCAACTGTTTCTGACAGGTGGAGGTGTGATGCCCGACAGTGTCGGCAAGAAATCGGTCTTCGAAAGGGAACTTGGCTGGAGCGGTCTAGGATGGATTTCAGGACAGTAATCCTATTCATTTATTGCTGGTCCAAAAATCTAACAACAATCAAATTCTGCGCAGAGGAGTTATCTATTGGCCACGCGACCGCTGTCGACTGGAACAACTTTCTGCGTGAAATTTGCGCCTGGCAGCTTTTGCATACTCCAACGATTGTCGGCGGCCTAGGTCTACATGTCGAGATCGATGAAACCCTAATATCACGTCGTAAAAACCATGCAGGGCCAGTCCTTCCTCAGCAGTGGATTTTCGGAGGGATTTGCCGGGAGACTAAAGAAGTGTTCTTGTATGCAGTGCCAGATCGAACTGCGGCCACTCTGCTGGACACAATCCAGGTCTGCATCGCTCCCTGCTCAATTATCATTTCCGATATGTGGGCATCATACCAAGGCATTGAATCGATGATTGGCATGAGTTATACTCATCAAACGATTAATCATACCGAAAACTTTGTGGATCTAACGACTGGAGCTCACACACAAACCATCGGATCTCTCTGGCACATTTACAAGATGCAGAATAAGCGCCAAAGCGGTACACACCGATCTTTAGTGGACAGCTACCTGTGTGAGTTCGTTTGGAGGCAAAGACACCGAAAAATGGACCTTTTCATGCAAATTATTAATGAGTTGTCTCAGTTTCACCCTCTTCAATAGAGAGTAAAAGTTGATGTTGCATACATCATGCTTCTTCAGCGCAGTTGGGCCACACAGACTTACACTTAAACTAGACCGTTTTAACTTGGATACAAAGCATTGTACTTTAGTAGTTTCCAAGTTTTTGTATACTGCTGCATTTTCCGCATTAATTATGCGTGCTTATTTACCTATAAAGTATACGTTTGTTGTTTGATGTCCCGCTGTGACTGCGCTTGATATGAATGTTGACAAGGTGCTTACGCACTACCTAGATTAGCAGTTCCAGGAGACTGTGAATCATTGCTGGGGGGGGGGGCGGGATGCACGGTCCTCGTGGCCGTGCTAGGCTCAAAGATTGGTTCCATGTATCCAGTGTGGAACGAACTACGGTCAAGCTACCGCTTTATGTACGTCTGGTACGCATGATTCCCTACATAGATAGGCAAGAATGCTGCTGCTGTGCATATTGAAGGAGTGTGGGCCGGCTCGGTTAATGCAATGTGGCTTCCATCCACATGCCGCCCGGTCTTATTGCTTCGGGTTTACATTGGATATGGGGTATGTATGGGATAGAAGACCAATTGATTAGTGTGGCACAAGTAACCGCAAGTTCGTAACGATGTGTCAAGGCCCAGCAGTTGGATGAAACCGTGAGGTGGCCAATTGACGACGCAAAGAAATGGACCGGAAAACTTGCTCAGCCTTGGTATGCATCGTCTTTGTGCATGGAGGTTTCCGGATGGTCCACATCATTGGTTGGAGACTGTATCAGACATGGCACAGTTAGAGAGTCAATGTCACTCCTGCATCCGGTTTCTTGCGTCTAGCTGTTAACGCCCACTCCATTCGGATTAGGCATTATTTTAATAACAATTTATTTATTTTCTGGTTGTGATCAACTTCATTTTATCATCCCTATTAGATGTTGTCCATCTGGTGACGTGAGTCATGCCAACTGGATTTGCTGCACTGTGGTGCTAGCACCATAGGTGTTCAACTGAACCGCCCTGAACGCACATACACACACACACACGCATACACAAATAAACGGTATGAGATACGGACAGAGCAAAGAGAACAACAATGGGCGAAGAAGGCTCAACTTACCAGATTCAGTAGCATTATCGATTTGCTGATATAGTGTCGCGAGGTATCTATCAGGAGACCACGATGTGCAAAGCGAGGCCTGTCGTGTATCAGTGTTTGATTGATATAGACCTGAGAAGAAAGTAGATATGTGGAGAAAAACAAAGTGTTAAGAGAAACGAGGGGTATCATATTGGAAAAGAACGAGCATTGAATAGTCACCGCACATCGTGTGATAGATCATTAAAGTGGAAGCAGCAGTGTCACACGCAGGCAAATAGCTGTCGGAAAGTGGAGTGATGCTTGAAGCAGCCACACAGACCACGACCCGTACAATCCAATGCTCATGTATGGCATGCACCAATCCAATGTACATGAGGGCAACGAGCGAACGTCCGAAAAGAAACCATCCATCAATAGAGAGTAGGAAGGGGAATAAATGTGCTTTTTTAGGAGACTTTTCGCAACTAAACACAGCAAGACAGCTAGCACACATGAAGGAAAGCACCAGACGAATGTCTCGTCTAAAGGGAACTCGTCAGTAGCACGCATTCGCCGGATACTGCCGGCTCCGAACCCATGGTTGGCGGCATCCGGTTTCGGAGTTGCCTGTCACCGTGGCCAGCCACAGGACGCCTGCGCCTATAGATGGACCATGGATGGCTTGCGAGAGATTATGTACGCTACTGAGGCGACTACTAACTATCGGAGAGTAGTAGTGGAAGTTAGCGCGTTTTTGAGAATTAATTCAATCCAGTGTGGCCAATGAGTACGCTTCAAAGCCGTATGATCAGCACAGTGCAGTTGATCAATTGTGATACAAGCGCCAAAGTGAAGTGGAACCAGTTGCCATGACAAGATTTATAATAAACCGAATCGCCTTTTTACTACACTCTGAAAACCAATTTCCCGAACCTGCTTATAGTGTTATCGGATAATGGCAACGTAGGAGGCCAAACCTGTCCTCTGGAAGTTAAGAATGCACAAAGAAGAGGAAGGTGAAGATACCCGCTGTGTCATAACTAGCCACGGTAACTGCTGTTCATCTATCGCGACCCAGTGATCCTAGCCATCTACTCGGGTGGGTATGATCGCGAGCCGTAACCGCACGCAAGATGGAATATGTACTGTAGGCAACCTCCAAAAAAGGAAACGGCCAATCCGTGACAGTTTGACTATGTGTGGATGTGGTGGGTTTAATCCAAATTTGTAATTAACAGAAACTCTTCCTTTCAGTACTCTGTAAGAATACCCTAAGAAAGGGTAATTAAGGACAGAAGAATGAGACGAAAAAAGGTTGTAGCTCATTAGAGTTGACACATGGTCCACCAAGAAGAAACTCCAATTCAACGCGGCCAAATGCAAAGTTCTGAGCATACGTCATCAAAGCACATGCAAATTGTGCCGCGTGCTTCCCATGAGAGCGATCTCAGTGTGCTCGTGCAAGTTCACATTAGTTGTCTGAGATAGACAGAAAAATCACCAAAGAAGCAAAGCAGTAATTTGGCTTCCTGCGTAGGGTGTTCTGCAGGCTCAAAGCCTCAATCATCCTGTGAATGCTTGGTGTGTACGTGATTCTGCACATGGAATAGGCTAATTAAGCGCGGCAACAGTGGCAGAAGCCCCACTTCCCTGCCCTCGAGACAAGGAACGCTATAGGTGTGTCCTGCCTTCCTTACCTATTCAGGCCAAAGAGTCTAAGAGTACCGCGGACGTTATAGGCGTCTACGGGGCGAACTCATAAATGTGCATCAGATCCAAGACACCCCCAATATAGTAGTGGAATTCAGGCAAAACATAAATCTGAGGAGCTACCAGCTCAAGCTAGCCACGCAGTACAACCGATTGCAATGTCGACGATAATTTTCCCCCACCGAATGTCACAGCTCTGGAACTCCTTCCCAGGTTACTTTTTCGATCTTTTCATCCTAGCATACTTCAAGATGGCTCCATGACGCAATGGCAAATTTCCCAGGCAAGGTGTAAATTAAAAAAATACATGCGACAGGCGCACGCCAGCCGAGCCACCAGTAACGAATGGGTATTGTTCCAGAGAGGTACAAGCCGGCTATAATGTCGCAAAAAAGATTTATAATGTTCAGGAAATGAAATCGTATTTGAAGGAGAGGGACAACTTAACCCAGAACACAGATGCCACTGAGATCGGCTCCTAGTCATGTCAACAAGTATATCCAGCCAAACGTGTTCGTCGTCCTTCGGACCGAAACCAGATAGCCCAGAGGCTCAAACCGAGGCCAACTTCGAACTAAGAGGCAACATTTCCCATGAACAAGTCATCGCTCGGCCTCCTCCTCCTTCTTCCATCCAGCCTAAAGTAGCACAAACAACGCACGTCGCGCAATTCGGTGTGCTATCATGCGCAACACGTGTTTAAGTCATTGGAACCTGGTTCGTGAAATAACGGTGGTGAGCGGCGCTCTTCCTGTTACTGTGCGTCGAAGACACTCATCGTTCACACAGTGTACCTATCAGATATGAGCCAAACTGCGAAAGCACCGGTGGTCGAAAGTGATATGCCTCTGTATGTCGACTGATCTAATGGGCCAGGTTTCACAACTATACAGAATAGTCGGACGTACGGCTGCTTCGTAAACTCCACCCTTCAGGAAGTGAGTGATGTCGTGCTGATGCCATAGGTGAGGAAAGTGAGCAAAAGTGCAACAAAATTTTACAGTACGGTTCGTGACAGGTGCTGAAACAACTGCCTAGGTGGTGAATATCTGAACGACTTCTAGTTGATCCCCACCAAGGGTCAGTGCAGGAGGCGGTCAATCTGTCAATATTGGAGGAAAGCTATGCACTTCGAAGGTGCAAAGTAAAGCCCGAAAAGGCGGACAGCCAATGCTAATCTGTCCAGTGCAGATTGGTAGATTTGTGAGCTGTCACAGATGAGGGTAATGTCGTCATCTTACTCAAAGTCGTTCACTTGGGAGCGGCTCCACACATTCTAAGTCGTGTCCCGTTGAGATGATCTCCATAACTTCGACAAAAGCGAAGTTCAAGGGGAAAGGCGACATCGCGCATCATTGTCTTATATCGCTGGAGATACTGAAGGGCGATGACACTTTGCCGTAAGCCCTTACTTTGACTGAGCTAGGCGCGTATACCGATCCGATATTTGCATATTTCGTAGGCACACCTTTCCTTCGTAGACAATCGCAAGGGGCACATCGATCAACCGAATCGAAGGAACCTTTAATATCGAGAAACAGGACTACGGTGGGTCATCAATATACGTGACGGTGCTCCAACAATCAACGCGAAGTGAAGATGTGATCGATACAGACAGGATCTCAAGGAGACCCGGGCTACCACTTCACGAATTCCTGTCAGTCTGTGAAGGACGATAGAGGCAAACAATTTAGAGACGATGGAGATCAGGCTGATTTCTCTCCGATTACCGCTTCCTTTAGAAAATGGGATTATAACGAAGTGGCTCCAGTCGGTTTGGACAATTTCTTGTCCCCACAGCTTAAATAGTAACTCGTATAATTCATACATAAGAGCAAGCACCTCAAATTTGAAGAAGGCTGGAGGAAGATCATCTGGTCCCGGGGCTTTATTCAATTTCAGCAGTCCGATCTCAAGTTTGGATTCTGAGCGAGGGGGTCGATGAAAGGGACAGCCCAGGGTGCAGGACGCTGGCTAGCCGGTGAGAAAGCTACCAATTTCGGCCGATTAAATTGCTTTTCGAAGCGCTCAGCACAATACTCCAAGCGTTTTGACAAGTTCTCGATAGGCTGTGCAAACTCGTCACGTATAGTTTCACTAACACCAGGTCTCCTGCTTCTGGTTTCCCAGGAATAGCGAACTCCCTCCAGACTAGCATGTACTTTTGTTCTTGAGGTAATTGCGAGTCTCACTGTGTTCGCTCCAAAGCCGAAATTTGCCGGCCAGCATCTAAAAGTTCTAGAGACTGCATAGAGACCCAATGTTCACGTTAGATATTAGCATTGCTACATGAGGATTTACTTGCTGTTTTTAAGGTCTGGTGAATATGCGACCAGTGATCGAATGTATTCACGGAGCGCATACACTACCCGGATGCCAACGTACTTCGGTACGCATTCAGAACAGCTGTATCGTCAGTTGGCTGGTGTCAATGCGCTGATAGCATCGTCGTGGGTGTCCGTCAAAATGCATCAGCAGGTCAGCACATACAAGTACATGGTCAGTGTCCACACACGTGCTCCAAATCGAGCGACAATTATGGACACAACCTCTCCAGCGGTAACTGATCGCGATGTGATCGATTTGTGTCCAATACGGGTGAGCGCTAAGTCACCCTCCGGAGGGGGCTGTGTCGGAAGTTAGTGCTGGCAAGAAATAAGCGGGGATCATTACACAAATGGAGTAAACGCTCACTATTAAGATTACGGAAGCCTACAGCAGGCTGGACGTCTAGATGCAGTTCATCAATAGATAAGTTTTCAACTTGAACGTTCAGATCACTATCCACCACTACAGTGTCCGTGCTTCTTCTGTAACAAAGGTCATTCAGTTGAGGATAGAAGCTGTCTCTTAACGAATCATCGCTAGAGTTTGTGGACGCGTAGGCAGCGATGGAGAAAAGACACCATTAGACACACGCAACTTCGAAGTTTGGAACGAGCCGCCAGTCCGACTGCACACATCCGCCTACGGATCAGAATACAATCAACCAGAGCATCTGCATCCCGGGGACTAAGGGCAATGCCAACACCGAGTGGCCGGGACTCTTCTCCAGAAGCGACAATGAGAACGCATCGCTAGTGTCACTTAAAGGGGGTCGCAAAGCGAGCACACAGCTCGAGTCTTGCAAGCGAGTTAGTGATAAGCAGCAAACATCGACCGAGTGTCTCAAATGTTCGGGCAAGTGATGCCAATTGACAATGTGCGCATCTTTAAGTATAAAAGTTTCAGCGAGGACCGAAGCTTTCAAATAAATGCAATGAATTCGGCCTGTCTGCGTGGTTGGAAATGGGCTTTTCGAGAAGACAGGAGTGACGCCCATGTTTTGCTTGTGAGTTGAAACTAGACGATAAGCGCTTAAACAAGTAAAGCAGGGGAAGAACAAGGATTGCGGGTTGAAAACGGGGGATAAAAGTGAAGTTGGAACGGGACGATAAGGG